AATGTAGTTTCCCAATCTGTAAATCTGCCTTCAAAGAACACATAATAAAGCATGTCCCACAGTATCTTAATTCCAGATAACCTGCTTTGCCGTTATTTTAGGCAAGAAATTAAACAAAATGCTGCAAGAGCCACTACGTTCTTCCCTCCCCACAGAGGGGGAAAATGCTGCCTGAAATTACAAATAACTTAGTTTTAATGGGACCTGTTGAGAAATAATTGCTAGGAGTGCAGGGAAAATGAATGCCTTAATGTAATAACTGAAAACACCTTGTCTAAATTATTTGAGGAGCACTGCATGGCAGCAGTGCCAACTTACTGCCGGGTTTCAGTGGAGGGCATGCCCTGCCCCTCACCAGGAAAGGCAAAAATGACTCATTTCCCTCATTTTCCATTTGATTGAACATAAAATACACTCCTTACGTGGCAGAGGCTACATGCTCTAGGTGGTAAGGGTAAACTGTTATCCAATAATCAAATTCACCCTCAAAGAAGTAAAACTGTAAATGCTGAAATAAAACCAGGTAACTGCCTATCAGARTTATTCTGAGGTTTCTTTCACTAAAGGTGCCAGCAAATTGTCCCACCGTTTACTGGAGGTTAACACAGAAGCCACACGCAGAGCTCGAGTTCATTAATGATTTTAACACAGCAACCAATAACGCAATCCTACTTACCACACACCTGGCACAATTTTATTTCAATTGTCCTCAAAGCATCAGAATTTTATGAACCTTCATCAAGGGGAGGAAACGCTAAGACTCTCGGCTTATCCAATACCTGCAAGCAGCAGCCAAGGAAGGCAGCGCCAGGGCAGCGCAGGCAGCTCGGCGCGGCCGCGGGGAGGCTGAAGGTCAAGCGGTGTCTCAATGCCCGTCAGCATTTCACGTTTGGGGAGGCAAGGTAGTAAAAGGCTCTTACATCACCCATTCAAAAGACTAACGGCAGCCCTAGGTACAATGTCTCTCACGCGAAACAGCCGGGCAAGATGCGCAACCAACTCTTGAAACTAATCCAGCAAATCAAAAAGAGATTAAAAAGTCAAAGTACGCACGYTTCAGGGGGGACTAATGCGGGCCAAGTGTTAATATTGTTAAATAATTAAGGACACCAGAGCAACAAACTCTTTCCAAATTAAATTAAGTCAGAATGTTAGAGAATAATATTAAGGGGGAAAAGTATCCTGCAGCTAATTGCGTATCTGATTAAGAGAGGGGAGGAAAAAAGAGGCTTCTAGAAGCCTCACAAAGGGACACAATTAAAAATTTGCATTTGTGGGTATTACAGAAACATCTAACCAGTAGTCTTTTCATCTAAATATTTTTGTATAAGAAACCTCCTGTTTGAATAAATCCTTTGTAGGGGAGAAAACAAAAAACAAAAAAAAAGAGAGAGAGAGATCACCTACAATTGCAAACCATAAAAATTAGCAGGGACATTCAAGTGCAGATGCGGTATCTGCATACTGGAAGTGTAAAAGCGTTCCAAATGGTGCCTATAAACACCAAAAGCAGCACAGCCCGAAAGCAACAGCATCCGCGCTGCCCAAATAAACATTGCGCGCACCCGAAGCGCCCAGATGTCAGCGGAAAATAACTTGCATCACACAGAGCACAGTAAGGGGAGCTCAAAGCAAACACGGCATCTAGCACAGCCCTATCTTACTGCACAGCTCTGGAAACCACAAAATAGGGAAATACAGCAGCTTAATACTTCTGAAATCACACCTTTCATACCCCATCCTTACATAAAATGGTCTTTCAGTAATTTTTGAAACTACAGCACTTAAAAATTATTTGGATTTAAAAAACTGGTCTTGTTTTCTATTAAGGGTAAAGTGGCAGTAAACATCATTACCTTAGGAACAAATTCCTTATAAAGAGATAAGGAATAAACAAGCATCCCCTGAACTTTACCGATTCGGGCTGGCTCACCCGGTTATTATCTTTGAAAGGCTCACAGTGATTGATCGCTATTTCTTGTTAACCTCCTGTCCGAGCGGTATTACAACCTGACAGCGATAATAGGAGCCGGTAAAAAGAAAGTCGCTGCGAAATAAAGCAGAGATTCACAAAGCAGGAACGGGGCTGGGTGCAGAGAGCGCGGCCGCCTTCGCATTTGTGACCGCAGCGCCTTTGTTATGCGGGCCGGACAAGCGCCAGTTGCATGTGTATAGCGCGAGCGGGACAACAAGGGGCAGCGCCGCCGAGCTCCCCGTTATAAAACATTCAGGCGCGGTTTGCTCGCGGGATTGATCCCCGACACCGACCCCGACGCGGCGGGACCCCACGGGCGCGGCCCCGCGGGGCGGCAGGAGCCCCGGCCGCAGCGGCACCTGCCCGCGAGCCCCGCACGCGCCCCGCAACGGCCCCGGCGCAGCCGCCACGGAGCCCCCAGCGCAGCAACGCGGGGCCCGGGGCCAAACCCCCGGCACCCCAGAAACACAGAGCCCCCCGCGCCCAGGGACCCCAAAACACAGAGCCCCCCGCGCCCAGGGACCCCCCAAAACACAGAGCCC